AATCTGAAAAACTCATTCTGCTCACAACATACACAAAGCCAAAGTGATATCTGATTAATTAACTTGGTTACAAATATACATATCTACTAACAAAGACCAAATTCTGCTACAAACACTATTTTTTGAAAAAAGTTTGTTCAATTCTTGTGGCTGCCAGATGGTTCTGATAATGTTATTTATGCAACCAAAAAAACCCCACCTTCACTTGCATTTTATAAGGCAAACTAGTCGTGGACTATGCCCCATTCATAACAAGTTTGGCATGCACAATTTACAATATATACTGGTCTAAAACATTAAAAAGGAAAAATATCAGTCTTGACCAGCCCAAGCACCAAAGTAAGTATTTCGACTTAAACAATAAAAACATAATTTGTGCAAAGGAAAGATTTTGTTTCTAATATATATGTAAGATTTCCTCCATACTTTCACGCTCAAAATATTTTTTTGGAAAGGCATGAATTCACACCTTAAAAAACTATATGTAAGCGATCCCATCAAGAAGTTATGATCGATAAGATCCTGCTTGATGACTATTTGACTATGGAAAAATTCAAGGAAAAAACAAACATGTAAAGCAGTCGTCATTTTGAATCCATTGTAAAAATTATATTTTGAAGACAGTTTTTAAAAGTCTGTTCCTTTTTTGTTAGGGAATCTCCAATTTTCAAAACTGGAAAATATTTTAAGTTGAACAATGGGTATGTGACACTGGTATACATTGAAAATGCAATTTTGAGCCAAAAAATATGAATACACAAATAGATTTGATAATGCGTCCACACTAATTTTGACTGTCTGACTTCCAGTGAAATAGACATTGTTTTTAATTGAAATGTGATTTGCTACCCTGCTGCTGATTTCTCTTATCTTTAAAGTTGTGTGACCAATTGAGATCTATATCCTTGAGAAGGAGGCTGCATCTATTCCTATACAGCATCTGCAAGTAGCTCTCATGTCTCATTGCAAATGGCTTAAGAAGTAGGAGATTGAGACATTTAGACTTGTCAGATGGCTCAAAATCTTATAATAACACAAAATATGCTGAAGAACACTTTGAAGAAGAAGATAAGATGAGATTGGGGTTAAGAGTGGAGTAGAGAAGTCAAAGCTCCGGAAAGGAAGCAAAAAAAAGAACCAAAAACCCACTACCTTCGTAACACTAGATGGCAGACAAACTTACATTCGTTGAAGAGACCAAAGTAACTGCTGAAGTTGATGTGTTAATGAAGCATAATAGAGTAAGTATTTTTTATACCATGTTAATTCATTGAACAAGATGTTATTGTCATTGGAAATATTGTTTGAGTAGAAAATTAGAGTTATGTTCTTGTAGAAATTTCTAAATTGTTGTTTGGAAGCTTCATTCACTATCAGGTCAAAACATGAATCTCTTTTGTGAAATTGCTTCCTTCCTGCCCTTGATAAGTAAGGAAAATGTACTTTGAATGATTTTGAGGATCTTTGCCATTGGTAAATTTGCAGTTAAAATTTTGATATTTGTCAAGTTTCTTTACTCCCTGCCAGTGAAGATTCTTAGAAAAATTGTTAGAAAATATTTTATGTTTACACTCTTGATAGCAGCAGAGGCATTCCAGCTATTAACAAACACAGAAGAAGAGCCATTAAATTTTCAGTTGAAAACTACAACCAGCTACTGCACTGCTTTGCAATATTGTGAACATGGCTCCAAGTGACATCTTGTTGCATAGTATGTCTTCCCAAGGAGTGAAACCAGATATTCAAACATATGCTGCTGTCATAGAAGGCATGTTGAAGATGGGAGAGACCACAAAACTTGAACAGTTTTTAAAACAGATGGGAAAAGATGTAAGTTTTCCCAATCTCAGGCATTGCGTTGTTAAAGATAATTTGCAATTAATTTTAAGGACATCAAATATAATTCTAGACACTCATGATAGACTGATATCACAAACTGTTGTCCGCGATCCATGTCATAAGGAGAAAATCCACGCCAAAAAGGAGAAAGAAAACACTGACCAATCAAAATCAAACGTGATTAATCGCAATCGGTAGAAAAAAGCAGCTTCTACCACCTAAGCCAATCAGAAGTCTGCATTTTCCCAAAAAATCGCATGACAGTGATATTGGCGCTTATTCCTATGACAGCGCATGGACGGGTGATAATCCTGCTTGATGCCTTTGATATTCCGCCTTTCGCGGCAAAACACTGCATGCAACACAAAAAGCGTTTTTGACTTTTTCTACAGGACTTCGGGCGTGCTCTCGCGACACTTGCTATGCAGAGGGGAGGGGTTTTTGGGTGGTTGTCGCCCCACTTTCATGAAAATCGGAATGTTCGGTGAAAACAAATCCTATTGTTAGTAAACGCTTTATGTTAATTCCATGAAATTATTAAAAAACTTATATTGGAAATTTCGATTATAAAACGAAATGAGGCATTACCTGGTTACTGTAAGGTTAGCAGCAATCTCAACTCCTTTCTGTCCTTTTATGAGCTTTAGGCTTTGCACCACATTAACCAAAACCGTTTTCGCGCCAATCCCATGCACGTGTCTGCAGTCTTCCGCGACAATTTCGCTATTTGGCATTGAAAATCTTGTAAATATATTTAACAAAGAATCCGATGGTTGGTATGGTCCTTCCTGTAAGTTTACTCATGTTTTCCTTTGGTGTTTTGTGAGAATTAAACATGATGTGAATTGCTGTTACCATCGATCGCATGTGTAGCCCTGCGACACAGACCAAATCGAATGCATTCGATTTGGTTCGTGTCGCAGGCTACCACATGCTATCGCGGCTGCAGATGTTGAACAATCGGCCATTGATGGCTGTTGACAGCTAAACAGCTTTGAAAAAAAAACGGAGACACCGTTTTGTATCCTCCGCTGCTACGGTTGCCTTGAATCCAGGCGAGAAAAATTGCGAAGAGCCCCGTCTACGAATAGGGTCAAAAGTTAGAGTCCTGCTATAAAGGGACGTAAAAACGTAGAAGAACACTTAAAAGGACTTCAAGAAATGAAAATTTTTGAAAACATAGAAGAATATTAATGATCAAATATTGTATAGTTATTATCTTGTGAACATTATATACGGGAAAAATTGTTTTCTAACTTTCGAAAAGATCAAAAGTTGTACCCTGAGCATCTCTAAATGGGTTTTCCAAAGTAAGATCCGTTTCAATTTAGTTTTCATTATATAATTTAACACTTTGAAGAAATGTTGAAGTCAAAAAAACTGTGGTCTAATTTTTAGCTAGTCCTTTAGTTTTACACTAACTTGTGACAATAACAAGCTCTTCCTGCAAAAGGCTATTAAATACCAAGGAACAGCGGTATATTCACAGATTGGAGGAGCTAAAGCGTTTTTTTAGGGAGGGGGGAGGGGGCTAAAGATGCTAAAAACTAAGGCAGATTGGGGCCAACTTTTTGTATGGTTTTAATATAATTTTGGAATTATTGGGGCCTATTTAATTTTTTCTTAAATTGAATGAGCATTTCAGTTACGTTCGCTAGTTGTAATTATCATGACATCTTAGGGAAATTTTGGCATTTGTGTGCCGTATTTTTGGAAAACTTTTGTGGTCAGGTATGCTTTTGGCAAATTTTTATGATGACAGGGTTTAGGGTGCAAAAAGGTTTCCCGCACAGCCCCCTTGTTCATTTTCCTAGTCAGGTCCCCCCACCCTCTGGGAATCTATCTATGTGATATATGCTAGCCCTGCTATATCCGGGTTCATAATTTGCAGGAGCACAGAATTTTGATTGTTATTAGCTTTGGAAGATTTCTAGACTGTTGACATTTCTTACTTCGGCGGGTTAATCATTCACAACATCTGGATTTGGTTACTGTTAGTGGATCCGTCCGAGTTATTTTTCAGCAGTTTATTACTCTTTTTACAAAAACAATTATTTAAGAACACGAGCCTCAAAATTCGTCAAATGTCAAGAACAATAATGTGAAATCACCCTTAAA